TCGGGGTTGAAGCTTAGTGACCCTTCGAACAAGGGTGTTTGATCGTAGGCTGGACTTCTGAAGCCCATACTCATTGGACAGCTCTAGATATTGTTGGTTTGATTTTCATGGTACTCTTTTCTAGTAACGATTTCCGCAGGGTATTCCGCTTGTAGGAGCAGACATTATTCTGAGTTTCCAGTGGATCCAGGCATACATGTTTTACGCGTGTTTTCAAATTTCTCGTATTGAGCGCTGGCTGCTGGCTGCTGTTTGCGATCGCTAGCACCTTTGGATTTCCCTTGTTTGCTCCAGTAATGTATACCACACTCGAGTTCGGGAAGGGCGACACTATTCTGGCGGTCGTAGCAATCGTTATAGGCTGCTCTGCGTACGTCTTCGTGCTTCCTTTTATTGTCACCCTTAATAATACCTGCAGACCCTGGATATTTCGGCATTACGGGGAGCAGATACGGAACAGCAGTCGATATGAGCGGCGATAACCCTAGACAAATGAGGAGGGACCAGAGTAAGGCACGGTTCACGGTGTCATGAATTATGAATCCTACTGGCAGCGATACGGCATTCTTATTCTTGTTGGCCGTATGTAATACAAGGGTTTGGGTATGCAATTATAGGATCCCTGGACGGGCATTGAAGCTTGAATATTCTGCCCGACTTTAGGTAAATGCTAGCTGCCCTTCTTTCCATTGCCTTCTCCGGCTAGTCGACGTTCTCTTCTCCGCTTGACATCCCAATTATAAACTCTAGCAGTGTTGACTTCCATCACCGTCAGCTGCTCTCGCATAAACTCCAAGTCTTCGATCGTAGCTTTTAAGCTGGCCTCTGCAAGATCCAATTTGGATCGCAGGAGCGACACAGCCTCTGACAACTTGTACGATAGCATAACATTCGCCTTTTACGAATCAGATACCATCGGGAAATCACGGTGGACAACTAAACTCACCCCTAGCCATAGATAGACGGTGTCAGTGTCCTCGAGTTCTGCTTCCGCGAAAAGCGTGTCATTTAATTCGAACGTTGTGGTAAGCGGCTTTTTGGGATTGTCGGAATTTTCCTCGTCGCTGAGATCATCCTCCAAATCGTCGTCCTTGTTCTTACCTTCCTACATGATCGTCAGATGATGTCGACGCACGTGTTCGCAGTGACAAACTCACTCTTTGTTCTTGCAGGAACTCCACCATATGTAATGTCTTTCTGATATCGGGGATCTTGTCTTCCAGACCTTTTCGTCGTTGTGTTAGGTTGGCATCCATATATCGATACTTCCTGGATTTCCTTAGTTTCAATATCATCACGGAGTATATATCAAACATACGCGATAGCATCCTGGAAATTCTTCAGGGGAGCCTCAACCGCGCCATCTGGGCCTCCCAGATATTCTTCGACATTTGCCTACATCATTAAGCATGAGCAGAAGATCATTGATCTACGTTTGTTGATACGTGCGATGAATGGAGCTTTTGGAATACCCCGTGGATTTTTCTCCTCTTGAAATACCGACTTGGCAGACATGGTCGTAGAGGCTGCAGTCTTGAAAGCTCAAACCCCGCTTCCAATCATCATGACGTCCGGTTTGCGGTCGGAGTTGGAATCGATTTTTCCTCCCGTCCTCACGATTTTTTTTCAATTCTATGATATTATCCTGTTTGATTGTGAAAAATCTCTTCACATGCTTGACGCCAGATCGCCTTGGAATGCACTCCGTACAACAATTGCAAGGTGCCTCCTCCGGAATTATCACAGATGTGAAATTTTCACTGAAGCAAGGCGGCACATCACGTCGATTCGGTTTCGTTGGCTTCAAGACGGATCAAGAAGCAAACGCTGCAACCTGGCAACTGCAAGGGGCTGGTTCGATCGCACCTTCATTGGCTCGACGTGAATTAATGTCGTGGGTGTTGTAGTAAGTTTTTTTTCTTTCCAAGTGTCGTTATTTTCTTTTAAAATATTTACTCGCAGGGCGTGAAATATGCTCCAGCTCCTCGACCAAGTAAGAGAAGACGCCTTGCCGATACTGCTGCAGATTCAGGACCGTCATCGTGACCACATGTTCACAAGGCGAATTTCATCCAGCACTACCGACGGGCCTTTCTCGAGACAAAGATGGCATCCAATGGATCAGATAATGATGAGACTGTCTCGGACCTTGAATGGATGCGACGACGTATGAACATGGTGTCGGATTCATTACCCGATCAAGTCTGAGAAAACCGAGGATGAGCACGGGGTGAACCAGAGCACCATCCCTGAGGAACGCCAGTACTCGACAACAAAAACAACCATGCAGTCTCGTTTATTCCTTCGAAATCTTGCTTTCTCATCTTATGTATCGAAGCCGAGATCATGGAGTTATTTCAACCATTCGGGGAAGTTGTAAATGTGAGTATCTCGTAGCCTTGTTATGTATTCCCTACATCTTTCGCTTTTTTCTTGATGATAAACACTTAGGGACATCTGATCCTCCAGGGATGTGCTGATCCCCGGGAACCAATAGTAGAAAAATTATCTGACTTTTATTCTCCTTTGACAATTTGTGTGTTGATGATCACTTCGCTGACTTATCACTATCCTACCAGGTGCATATACCTTGTCTAGGAAGTTGAAGGGTTTAGCCGACGTGACCTTCAAGCAGCCGATGTCTGCCCTCCTGGCGTATGAGGCGCTGGACAAGATGTCCCTCCAATGGCGTCCTCCCTACATCATCCCTGTCTCTGACCATAAAGGCAAGTAGAGGGCGAGGGGGGAAAACAAATGTTTCAAGATAAGGAGAGTTCTCGGCGTAAAACCACAGCTGGGCGAGATTTCAATTGGAGTGTGTTGTACATGAATGTTCGTCAAGCCTTTGTCATGTTATACACTATATATCCAGATCTTATGCAATGCATGTGCAGAGCTTAATGCAGTGGCATCGTCTATTGCTGTTCGGATGGTTCCGAATTGTCCAGGCAGATATTCTGAAATCTGAGTCGGATAATGCAGCAGTCAAGTTTGCGCTTGCGGAGATGCACATTATCCACGAGAACGAAGTCGTACCTCGAGTCCCAGGGAATCGTCTTATCGTCCCTTTTTTTCACGAGCGACTACGATATTTGTGAAGAACATCCCCTATGACACCACTGCGAACAGATACGTGAGATGTTCGAGTTACACGGGGAACTCAACCGCGTTATCGTACCACCGGCAGCTACCATGGCGGTGATGAAATTCGGACAGGCAGATGAAGCTGCCAGGGCTTCAGCTGTAGCTTACCGACGTCTCGGAAGTAGTGTGGATTACTTGGAGAAGGGTCCGATGGGCATGTTCTAGGAGACTGCGGATGCAACAGAAAACAACAACTTCAAACTAATTACTCTTTAATGATGCACAGTGCCGACAAGGATATGCAGGCATCACCTCCTCCAGTGAAACGACAACGCACGAGCCACTGCAGAGCATCCGAATCATTAATTGGGCAGTCAGAGTTTTTATTTCCGACGGGGACACTGTGACTGGTGTCGAAGGGGAATCATGGAATGCTCATATGTTCTGAAAATTTTGTGGACATGCTCGAACTTCTGTGGCCGGCCGATATCGAGAGAATACACGAGTGTCGTCTGATCATTTTGTCGCAAAATTCCGCGAATAACTGGCTAGTCCTGACATGGCTGTACCAACACGAGTAAGCCATCTTATCCGTCAAACTATAATTGTATAGCACCACGTCTCTAAGAAGTTCAATAACCTCACTGTCGTCTTTGATACCATAGCTGGAGCCCTACGACTCTCCAACAAATATGACATTGCGGACTTCCGTCACATCAGCTACAGCTGTTTCTGCCTAGCCCCAAGACTTCACCAAAATGACTTATGCTGCATTCTCTCATGCCGCTAGTGAGCTTCCCTTTTCTCCTGTAGATCGGTCTAAAATGTGCTCTGGAGGTCATAAGCCTTGCGCAAGAATGTAATGTCCCTAGGATCCTTCCTGCCTCATACCATGCCCTTTTGATCTTCCGTTGGAGTCATCTAGCCGAGGGCACCTCTAATTGTCCCCCTGGGTGATTCATACTTGGACGCAAACACCCTCAAGATCATCTATACGCAATCCTGACTGGTGCAGACGACCGGCCATGCGGACACACCACAGTTAGTTGCGAGAACGCACTCAGACGTGGCTCAGCTCATCGTTGAGGCCGGATGCTTTCTCTCCGTGGCTCCTTCGTAACTTGCAAACTCTTGCTATCAACAGATATCCAGGCTTGAGTTTACCATTACACCCGCTGTGATGTGAACTTTTCGTCAGCGAATCAGCGGGTTCGCTTAAGACCTTCACGAAGTAATTTTATACTACGAGATGTTTGTGTTACTCACCCTATGAGAAGACAGCAAAAGTTTCTTGCACGGGTTTCCAGTACACAACTGGCCAAATTTTGGGAACAACATTTTTTAGCTTCCGTGTTTCTTCACACATTTTGTTGCAAATGACATCAGGATGCAAAACATATATTGATTTCTCAACACGTGACTGACGCGTCGTGTTTATCTAGGCAAGCACGCACAAATATTCGTAACCGGTATAAATATCGCGGAATATCCTGGTGTCACCCCAGTGTTCTGCCGGTCAGTGTACGTTTATCAAAGTTAACGTACGTTCAGCCGCGAACTTTCCCATGAATGCAAGTGAACTGAACTCGTGCAGTGCCAGATGTCCTGCTTGAATATTAGATAATCATATCTGATTGGACGATGAAGCAGGTTCAAAGTGCCGCAGTACACGGTGCGTCAACAATCGCAGAATGGATAGTACTCGACTACTACTACTATAACATCTGGTAGCACTGCTCATTTATCTACTCGTCAAGAACATCATCAACTTGAGGAAAGTCTGGATCATCAATTCCCTCGGCATCTAAGTCAAGAAGCTCATATAACTCAAGCTCAGCATCCAAACCTCGAATAGCGACTTTATAAAAAGATCCCAACTATTCCTCCGCACGAGAATAGTCGAGTAAGTCACTGATAGCAATGCGGGAGAATGAACCACCGGCACCGGCAGCACCAATGGGGACTGAGTGCATTGATTCTGTGGTGGAAATCTCCTTCTCCTCCTGAACAGCTCGGATAAGGTCTGCTGCAACATCACTTATCCCTCGCCTCTCGAAAGCGAGGCTGCGTGGCTCCCGTTCGCTGCTTTCTCCTGATAGATTGTCGCCAACTGCATGAACTACTTGAGTAGGCTCTGGTTTGTCAGTGGCCTCGGTGTCACAGTACCGGCGTTGAAGCCACTTCTTGACCACATCGTTGCGTACATGCTCTTCGTGAACATACATCTTGAGTTCTGCCAGAAGGGTGAGTGTCTCAGTTGCGTTGGGGATCATTCGGGCCACTAGCCCAAACTAGTACATTAAGTTAGTAACAGAAAGCTATAAAACAAACTTGCGTACGAGTGCCTGCTATTGCCACTTCGTCCCTTGGTGCATCTCGCTGGCCCAAGTGTACCTGCTGCTCATCCATTGCCTGCTCATGCGCAACACGTTGCTCATAGAGCCTTGCACACACTACCTTTGCCTTTCCACTGACCATAGAAGCTGGGTCTTTGACAGCATAACCTGGGTGCTCCACGAAGTGATCCCACCACCATCCTTGGTTTGATCTCTTGCCGATCTTCATGGTGTGTCAAAAGTCGGGAGTCCATCTTCGAGTTCTAAGCCTTAAAACGTACCCTTGAACCGAACACACGAAAACCATGCGTTTATGTGAGTAATGATATGTGAAGCGGCACGAGGATAATCAAAGATTCTAGCATTGACCAGATATAGTATAGTTCGTTACAGTAGGACCAGGAAACTCCTGAAAGTCGTGTTCAGATGAACGTCGACGAAGTTCGCCAGCTTTCCCACGCAATCCGGTCAATGACCGTGAACTTGGTTCACTGACCGGCAGAACACTGCCAGTTGCATCCACTGTTGTGGTGATATACGATTGGGGTGAGCAGGACATGGCTTACTAGTTACCGAGGAAGTTGCTGATGTTTTTATGCTACTCCCAAGCACTGACATTCGAACAAGAGGTAGGTCGATGTCATTGCCAGAGCTGCCGTCTCAGTGCTGACGGTTTTGTAGTTTGAACTAGTCTGGGTGAGCACAGTGTTATATTAGAAGTCTAAGGACAACTGGATGATTTCCGATATGAATTCGAAATAGAAGCGACGCTGGTCTGTCACGAGCGTCTTATATCTTGCTGTACGTACCTTACCAATTTCAATTTCCATTTGGCAAGTGCGCTCACCTTACAACATTGCAGTTGCGCTATGGCGGAATAATATACGCTGTGTATGTTTGCGAGGCCAACACGTCAGCATTGTGCTAATTAGCCATCTCTCGTAACCAGCTTCGATATACCCGGTGTGTCTCTCCCACTCCCAGTATCTTCTGACATGTACTAAACTGTGGCATCTAGCAAGTGTCACGACACTCTACGTGTCAGATGATGTGAGTGATCTGAGTAATTCGAGCAATGCGTCCCATTACTGTCCAACTCACGATTCTCTCGTAGGGGTGAGTGATATTCTCGACATTGTTGACTAAATGTAACATTTGAATAGCTGTGAGATTGGACTTAGTCCCCCTATAATGCCCATCGCTCATTGTATGTTTCAGGCACTGTTTTTGATTTCGAACAATGGTGGATGTTTACAATCGCAAACATCATCCTGGGCGGTGAGTTGTTCAGCTTCAATACATTCTTAATTTGGCTGAAATATCATGCCAGTTATTATGATCACTCGGTTGCATGCCATGTATCAGCGATCGAGAAAGATGCTTATCTTTCTCGTTTTATTCTTCCTTACCGTGATGACCACTAGCGCAGTAATCACGGTAATACAAAGCACACATATTACAGGAGGTAAGCTTTGGTAATGCACGAAGGACTTCAGATAGTCAGGCTTACAAGACAAATAACAGAGGAGCTCATCCTCTCCGGTACTTATCAGTGCAACTACGAGGGGAATAGCTTTCTTCTATCAGCCGTCACTTGGGTACTCGGCACTGTATGGGAAGCCCTCGCGTTGTATCTTTCAGTCCGTGTTGCTATAAAGCATTTCCGCGAACGACTATCGACAGGGTCGATTATTGAGGACTGTTTCACGGTGCTAATAAAAAGTCATGTATTTTACTTTGCAAGGTGAGCTCATGACTTGAGCGACTTGTCGTTTTAACGTTGATGTTCTGTATGTTCCAGCTTTGCTGCCGTTGCTTCCTTCCGCATTAGCTTCATCTCTCCAAATTTACCGGTGGGCCCATCCGTTACTGACTGGCATCCATCTGACTGCTCCTCGATTGTACAGAGCGGTAGTTCTGCAGGAGCCGAGCTTTATTACGCTGTTGCGCTAGTTTCCGCGCTCTTGCAGATGTTTTTGCTGGGACCGCGTCTCGTCCTTAGCGTTCGAGAACACGGCACTAGGCTTGTGGATGATTCCGACGGAGCAACTGCCATGACTGCGGTTGCATTCCAGGAGTGCACATTCGTGTCGACTGATAGCGGTGTGTAGTATGGGAAAATACTCTATGACATTGATATCTTGGTATTGGTGTATTGCAAGGAGGTTGGGAATGCCCTTTGGATTCGGAGTTTCGCCATGGTACCAAGTGATATGTATTTTTCGGTCATGTAGGAGAAATAGACTCGCGATATGTTTAGGAAACTCAATACGTGTGGTAAATGTGACTGACCAGGCACTGGCACTCACCCCAAGGCTTATTTGGTGAAGCTAAGCAGCAGTGTCATCATACCTTCAGGCCAAAGTCTTGGGAGTCTGGACTTAACACTGTCAAGGTGATTCAACGTTCAAGTTTAAGCCAACCGAGACCAACTTAGGCTAATAACTCTAATCCAGCCATGAGAAAATCACCGTCCTCCGATCACCTTCGCGAGGATGTGAGCACACTTGATCCCGCGCAAGTAGTATGTATCGAGTCATCACATCCTCTGCGAATCCTCTTCAACTGCACAGAGTTTGATCCCGCGGAAGTCATTCGCATGGAGTCAACTCAGCTTCACTATAGCGCAAACACCGCAGTCTTCCCCAAAAAAACAAATCCGGCGAAAAAGATCGATCTTTCTCGCGGACGTGAGCATGAATGCATCAAGCCCATCCCATGTGCCCATTCTGATAATTTCAATATGGTCTTGGAGATGAGGCTGGAGCTGTCAACGGATGGGTCGATCCGACCTCTGGCACAAAGTATTGGTATCGGTGTCTGAAACGGATGAGTGTCGTTAAAGCACCCTTTTCGACTTGCCCGGACTAGCTATTAGTCACACGACTCCATGAGCTAGTGGGATAAACCGACAAGTCCATGAAGCTCCAGGTGTGTCGAACGACAACGCTGGTGGACGTCGCTGCTAGTGATGTAAGCGAATGGTCCTCGGGAAAGAGAATTTGAACAAATGCTGTGTACTAGGGCGTTGAGAAAAAAAAACGACGTTGAAATTGAGAATGGTGGTGTTAGGAGCAGTCCTATACGTCGCTCACCACGGCATGCATATCAAAAAGGTGACACTGTGTCGAGCACGGCGGAGATATAATATGAGATGGAGTACTGTGCCTTGACAAGTAGGATGATGCGCTTGTTGAGCCGGGGTCAGGTCCCCGTTCACGATGAGCGGCGACATACTCGTTGTTTGAATAAATCGCTGTCGACACGAACAGGAGGTAAAAGGTAAGACCTACTAACTCTGCTAAGGTGGTGGTTAAGTTAAAGCCGATCGATCAACCGAGACCAACAGACAAGAGCCAAACAGTCGCAAACAACCGAAACTCTAATCGTATCTGAGATGCTCATCAGGCATTTGACTTTTGTATGACAAAGATTTAACCTGATATGCAATATGGAAAATGTATATCACAAGTACTATACTTGGTACGATCCGTCCCCGGGCTTGGAAAGTGTAGTTGTCAAGGGAGGGTAACGCGAGCGAAAGTAGTTATGGACGAGATAAGACTCTGTGGGTATAGAGCACAGGCTGCACAGCGCACTGACACTAGACATCGCATGAATCGGTGTGATGGCACCTCGCCTGGGATGAGTTCTCATATGTGTGGAAGCTTGAGAATACCCCAACGTGCTTTCTTTCCCTCGTTCATATCGTTCATATTAGCCTTTTTATTTAAATAAAGCTCAGGACATACCAAACCAGACAACCATGGACGCGACAGACTCCTCCATCAAAGTCAAAGTATCCCCAACCCAGAGCGCATACTTTGCTGGTGAAACTTTCACCGTCGAAATCACATTCACCAATACACGTACACCCTCTCCAAACAACACACCACTAGTACCAGCATCTGCACCAGTTCAGAAATCGCATAGACGAAATGCCCATTCTATAAGTTCTGCACCCCTCGCCAGGCCTCCTACCTCTCCTGGCTTGAGCCCACGTCCACCAGATTTCATTAAAGCGCTTGGAAGTGGAATTGGTGAAGAGGGAAGAAAGGGATTGATTGGGAATGGATCAGTCGATATCAAAGGGAAAGGTAAAGAAGTGCTCGAAGCCAGGCGTAGTGCATTAGAGAAGGCCAAGCGCAGTGCTAGTGAAGAGTATGTACAAGCTTATGAAGTAGATCAAGGTAAGTCCTTCGTCATCGTCGTCGTCGTCCTTGACTAGCTCAAAGTGATTGCAGTAATACCACGCACAACCTTCACTATCCCCCAAAACCATCCACATGCACGCAAACAATCAGTATTGGACGGTCACCTCCAGTCGAACGAAGTAATACAACCACAAACCAGCACACTCGACACAATAGCAGAAGGGCCCACCCACTCATACCCCCCTCGTAGACCATCGCTTCAGGCACTCGGTCATGGTCATCCTCATTCATACACCAAACCTATCCCCAAAGACACAGCCCTCCTCCTCTACTCATATGCCCAACTTTCAGGAACAGCACACATCCTCCCACAAAGTACACCAGCAGCCTTGTCTAATCTTCGCGCACATCTCCTCAAAAAGCCTGTATTGGGAGGCGGAAGCATGGACATCGCCAGTACCCGCAGATCCCATTCGCGTTCTACAAGTCTTACGGGTTCCCTTTTAAGTCTATTAAGTCCTTCGAGTTATACTCCTACGCTCGGGAGATCAAGAGCCCCTTCCCTCAGTTCACAAAGTGATACGTCTCCTACAAATGTTGGTTTGGGATTGAGTGTTGGAGCAGCGAATCCTGTGGAAGAAGGGGAAGAGGAGATGCCGCTCCCTGTATTCGAAGTACAACCTGCCATGCTAGCTGTCGATCTCGCCTTGAGTCCTGGAGAAAGTAGGACTTGTGAGTTGCCTTACCTCTTCTTTGTACAATCACGCTGACACACAATAGATACATACACCCTTCCCCTACCCTCCTCCCTCCCTCCTACATTCAAGGGCCGCATGATCCGCTTCTCATACGAACTTATAGTTGGTACGTGCCGGAGAGGCGATAGCGGTGAAGCTCCTTCTACCGGTGTGACAGTGAGCAGGGTAATGAAAGTCCCTATCAGGGTGTATAATTGGGTCAGCGGTGAGTCTGTCGTTTTCCTTATTTCAACCTGACGCCAACCAATCAATGCAGTCAGCAGACCACAAAGCCCCTACGACCTCCTCCTCCCCGTGCGTAAACACGACGGCGGAAAAGTTATCGAGCTAGGCAGCGCATGTGGAGATACAAAGAAAGACTCGTCCTCTTCCTCGTCGAAACACTGTGCGTCTTCTTATCTTCCATGCATCATATAATTAAATGGGAGATAGCACTGACTACGTCACCTTGTGGCTCCCTTGACGACCTCCGCGCCTACGGGGAGAGGCTACTCGAGACCTTCCCTGCGGAGGGGTCGACGGGTGTGAGGATTAAGGAGCCTGCCGAGAGCGTGCCTGAAAGTGTACCTTCCTCCTCCTCTGGGCTTGCTTCTGGGAGTG